CACATGAAGAGTGTGTTGTTTTAAACTTTTTATTTGGGGATAATTTCAAGCTACAGAAGAGTTGCAGGAATGGGTAGTACAAACACCCTTCACCCAGATCCACCAATAGTTAACACTTTCTTTTTCTTTATCATTATGAACTCATGCAAACTCTGAATTTGTGTATATGTATGATATATATGTACATATACATATTATCCCTAAATACATTTGTGTGTTTCTCCGAAGAATGGAGATATTCTCTTAACCACAGTTTAGTTGTAAATTTCAGTAACTTTTATATTAATATCCTTACTTTACTACCCATATTCTAATTTTAACAAATGGCCCAAGTGATGCCTTTATAGCATTTACCCGCACTACAGGATCCTAAGATCAGGTTTTGCCTTTCGTCATCTTTAAGCTGGAACATTTACATAGCTTTGTCTTTAATGACACACATGTTTGAAGACTACAGTGTCTTATTTTAATAGAATGTTCCTCATTTGGGATTGCCTAATATTTCATTATGATTAGATTTAGGTTATACATTTCAGGCTGGAAAATTATGGAAGTGATGGACTGTCCTCAGCATCTCATGTGTGAGACACATGATATCTATCTGCCTCTCATTAGTGAAAGTTAATTGTTAAATGTTTGTCACTCAGATTTTCCCACTGTATAGTTAATATTTTTTTCTTTTGCAACCAATACACAGTCTTTGAGGACACTCATTACAACCATGCAGATATCCTGTTCTTCATCAAAATTTTCCCCTGGACTTAGCATCCATGATAATTCTGGCCTGAAGTATTTTTTAATATGATAGTTGCAAAATTATGATTTTCTAACTCCAGCACTTCCAAAGCATAGCTGTCTTTTAATGCTGGAAATATGAGGATAGGACTGGCTTTTGCTAACTTTTATTACTTGCTTTCACCCAAGTTTTAGATTGATACATTTAATTATCTGGTTGATAGGCAGTATAACCTGGAACAGAGTTCATACCAAGTCTTATTTTTATTTGATGGATCACAAGTTCTGTTCAGAAGCATGATGTGAACTGGAGTAGGATCTCAAAATACCTACTTACTCCCTAAGTCAGCCCTTTCTACTGTTATGAGACTTCATTACCTTATTTCTATGTTAGTTTTTTTTCTTTTTGCACTTAAAAAATAGTGCCGCTTTAAAAAATGTTTAAAAATTCATTTTAGAGAGAGAGGAAGAGGGGGAGAGAGAGAGAGAGAGAAACATCAATTTGTTGTTCCCTTAATTCATGCATTCATTGGTTGGTTCTTGTACGTGCCCTGTCTGGGAATCAAACCCAAAACCTTAGTGTATCAGGATGACAGTGCTCCAACCAACTGACCCCCACCCAGCCAGGGACAGTGCTGCTTTTTATAATTGAGAAATACTGTGTACTTGCTGGCTTAGATTGATGCCATTTAAATTCTAGACATTGGTCAGAGTCAGACTTTTTACAAGAAAACTGAAAATTGAATAGTTTTCAGGTTTATAGCATGTTGCTTAATTTTATCTTAACAGATTTATTGGTAACTGGTTTCTTTAATCATCATATTGATTTATTTTTGCTGTTCCTGAAATCATTGCAAGCATGGAATTCTGGTATGATGGAAAGAATATAGATTAAGAATGATGAATATTAATCTAGGACTTGTAAATATCATCTACTTATGAGACTTGATCAACTCAATTTCTTAGAACCTCCTCTGTTTTCCTGTTTTTAAAAGGAACATATTAATTGTTCTGCCTACTTCATAGGGTTTTTTTTTTAAACAAGGGTCAAATGAAATTATTATAAAGTATATAAAAATGGATAAACTAGGGTTGTTGAACTTCTGTTGAGTTGATTAATTTCATTTCAGAAAATCTTCCATTAATTTTATAGCCACTCACAATGTTAGATTTATTTCTCATGTCAGGTTCATTCTCTTATTTTTCTTAATGTTGAAGTTCTCTAATTTCCTAGAGTGAAGAACCTAACACTTGTTGAACACTTTCTCTAATCAGGCAGCATGCTTTACACACCATACATGCCTATTATTAGCGTTACAAGGTTATTATCCTCATTTCCCTGATTACAAAACAAGGTTGAGAGTTTTTGTAACTTGCCCGAGGAAGCAAATGTACTTGTTGAGTGACAGAGTTTGGACTTAAACCCAGATTTGTCTACTTCTAAAGTTATGCTTTTTGGAGTTCTCTATCAAGTCAAACAAATCTGATCAGCCTCAGTGGTTCTTTTGTTATATTTTCAGGTCATTTCTCTGTATACTTAGAGTAGCAGCTCATCCTAACTCTCTAAAGTACCTACTTTTCATCTCTTGAAATAATTAGCTCATATTTCTATCAAATTTGCTTGGAATTACTGTATCAGTGTGGTTGGTTTCCCCTTCACTCTGACACCTCTTTCTACTGTTTGTATCTTTCTACTATTTGTATCTTTCTGAGCCTTGGGCACTTTTCTCTTTTATCATCTCCTATTGAATACAAAATGTCTCATATTGAATATAAATAATATCTTGTAGAATTGATAAAATATATCATTGAAAATTAAAATTTGTCAAAATATGAAAGTTTTAATAATAGTATTAAAAAATAAAGGTATGATTTCTTAGTTTTTAATCTTTATAATGCATGTTTACAATTCACTAGTAAACATTTGATTTTTTAAAATTTTGTACAGAAATGTTGTCATTATCAAAAACAATGTACTTCTGTTAGGCAAGGTGTATTGGACAATAACCCTAACTGGAATCATAATTACAGTATTTTATATTGCAACTATTTAAGATCTGATTCTAGATTGTGTGCAGAAAGATCTAACAAGGCTATAAGAAAGTGATAGCTTCAAACTGAGCAAGTGCAAGGTAATACATTTAGAAGAAAATTATCCAAAACTTTAGTAATAGAATTGTTTTCTGGCACAGTTCTTCAACCCAGGACTTAAAATTTAAAGGTGCTCTTTGAGGAAAAACTTGTTTATGTATAGATATTCTTGCAGATCAAGTCTTTGCGGAGGTAGAATGGTTTTCATCAAGGCTAGAAAAAAACAACCCCAAAAACCAAAAACAAGGAAACCAGAAAACCCGTTTTTGAACCAGACATCTCTTTTACTCCCTTACATGCCTAATGCCTTTCCTCTGTCTTCAAACTGGAGTACATGTACTCTTTGGGGTAACCAGAGTTTTCTAAGAGGTAAACAGGGATAGATGTTGAGTTAGTTTCTTAAGGCTGTCATTACAGAGTGTTACAAACTGGGTGGCCTACAGCAACAGATATTTACTGTCTCAGTTCTGGAGCCTGCAAGTCTGAAATCAAGGTGTGGACAGGGGCAATTCACTCTTAAACTGGGTAGAATTTTTCCTTTCCTCTTCTGAGCTGGTGGTGGCCAGCAGTCCTTGGCTTCCCTGGCTTGCAGCCACATCAGATCAGTCTCTTGTCTTTACCTGGCATTCTCCCTGTAACTCTTCACATCACCACCTTCCTCTGTGTGTGGCCAGTTTCCCTGGGTTTTGTTTTTTGTCTTTTGTTTTATAAGGATACCAGTCTTAATGAATTAGGGCTCACCCTAACCACTTCTTCTTAACTTGGTTACATGGTTAAAGATCCTATTTTCAAGTAAGCTCACATTCTCAGGTACTGAGGGTTAGGACTTAAATTTAACTTTTTGGGGGGACACCGGTACAATGTATCTTTAAAGAATTCAATTTCCAGGTTCTCAGCTTTTGAATGTGTACTTTTTCTTAAAAGTAATGTAAAATTTTTGAATTTTAAAGAAGAGCTCTTTCATATCTATTCTCTTGGATCATGATGGCTATTAAATTGCTGTGGTATTTAGATTCCATTTTAAATAGTGCTGTAACACTTAAATTTTAATGGCAGTACTTATAATATACTGGAAATTATATATTTCCAATCATTTAAATCTATAAGAAAAATTTTAGGTGTCAAAAATGTGTGAAGGAGTCCTTAGTTTTTAAATAAAATTATTTTAGGGAGTGTGTGAGCAAAATTCTTAGAAGACTGCTGTTCTGGAGTGGAGTTTCTCAACCTCAGTACTGTTGTTTTAGACTAGCTAATTTTCTTTTGTGAGGAGGGTGTTCCATGCCCTATAGTATGTTTAGGAGCATTTCTGGCCTCTACCCACTAGATGTTGGTAACAGCTCCCCAGCTGTGACAATCAAATATGTCTCCAGACATTGTCAAATACCCCTGGGGAGTAAAAGTGCCCCCAGTCATTGAAATAGAGCATACTGAAAAATTTCCTTTCAGTCAGTAATACAGAATATATACTAACATTTCAGACATTAGCTAATCTCAGTTTTGAGTTGCTTACTCTATAGCTTTAGTCAAAACTATGACCTAAGCTGGCAGATTTTCAAGAGATAAAACCTAAGGGACAAGGTAATTCATTTAAAAAAGTCAGTAAATTTATCTCTGAATCAAAAGTGGCCATATAGGTACATCTAAATAGAGTTAAGTAACAAATACATTTAGAGTAATAAATTTATCTATTTAGAATAGATAAAAAGAATCTTAGTTTATGGCAAGAGTTGGTGTAAACTGAAAATATGAAACCAGCTTATGTTAATTTTAATGAATCGTCCAATTATCCGGTGTGTTACCAACAAAAATTCTAGAAGTATTCTTTATCTTAGAGATGAAGTGAGGGTGTAACTGTGTTTCTTCCTTTGCCACCTTTGTCAGAGGCAGGAGATGGAACCAGATTGGTCATGCATCCAAACCACTGTGGCAATTCTTCTATTTTTGTGTTGACACCAGTATACCATATTATCTTTATCTTGTACATGAATGTATATGTATATATCTGTCTATTGATAATGTAGCTTTTCCTGTCTAAATTAAAATCTCATTTCAGATTTTATACTGGGAGATGGTTTGTTATATGTTACATTTTCTTGTGTGCTTTGCTAGTCTTAAAAACAATTACCTTCTTTACAGGAAAAAAATTGTTTCTTGCCTTTTTTTTTTGCCTTTAGCTCCATGTTTTCCAGCACCTAACATAACTTGTAAGGATTTCAGTGGCAATGAAACACATTTTACTGGAAACGAAGTTGGTTTTCTGAAGCCCATATATTGCCGAAATGTGTAAGTACATTACTGAAATGTTCAGATTACCTTCCTACATTGTGCCTTGATTACATGGAGTGAAAAGATAGATTTAAATTATGGGGAAAATTCTGCACTAATATAACTTTTAACTTTTTGCTTAAATCAGAAAACCTCTACTTTAAGTGTTCATATTTGTTTTTTAAATAAATGCAATTTACCAACCAAGTAAAGCTCTATAGTTCATTATTTGGGATAAATAAAGACTGACTGGTTTCATGCCATGTCAATTTAGTCATTTTGGCTACCCAAATGAGTTACAGAAAAAAGTGTTTTTAAAATTTGAGGGATTTCTAGCCCTGGCTGGCGTAGCTCAGTGGATTGAGCGTGAGTTGCGAACCAAAGCATCACAGGTTCGATTCCCAGTCAGGGCACATGCCTGGGTTGCAGGCCACGTCCCCAGTGGGGGCCACGTGAGAGGCAACCACACATTAATGTTTCTCTCTCTCTCTTTCTCCCTCCCTTCCCCTCTCTAAAAATAAATAAATAAAATCTTAAAAAAAAAAATTCAAGAGGAGGGAAGCCTCCCAAACTCATTTAAAAGAAAAAAAAGTTTAAGGGATTTCTAGGATTCAAATAAAGGATTGTGTACCTGTAGTTTTAAAAGAATGCTAACTCTTAAATCATTTGCATATTAGGAATTTTGAAACTTGGTTTCATTTTATGGATGATGAATGGTAATGTAAAACAGAATTCAAAAGGTTTTTTGAAATATTAAGACAAGTGACTTTTATTTTGTTAGGTATATTCTTTGTTTAAAGAACTTTTAAGTTTGCTTTTAATTTTGCTATAGTAAAGCTAACATTTTATTCTTATAATTCTGCTTTGTACTAAAAGCTTAATTTGGTTTTACCCACTTTTATTAATTGCTGGCACTGTATTTTTACCTTTATACTGTGCATTATTGCATTTATTTGATGATACCTATTTGAAGTTATATCAAGAATTAATTATTGTTTGGCTGTATCTACAAGTTTTATTAGAATTCTTAAAAGTTACTATTAGAGTCCTTTTTGAGGGGCTTTAGGTTCTATCTTGCTGTATAATCCTAAGTCAATTGTTTAGAATTCTTGAGTTCTAAGACTTCTCATTAGTAAGGTAAAAAGTGTTAAAAGGAATTATTTCCAAAATATTTAGATATGGTTTAGTTAATTTTGAAATTTACAGATTGATATTTCTACCTTAAACATTTAAAATGATAATTTATTAAGTTCTGGTCTTAGATATCATAGTTATAAATACAGTAGCTAAGAATATCATCTGTTGAGAACAGCTAGCTACTCAGGTTGGACCTTACAGGTTCAAGTTACCTATAATGGTAACACCACAATGATCTGTTAATTAATTTCCAAGGTAACTCTGATTTTTTTTTTTTCAGTGCCTTTGGATAGATTAGGCTTTGACTGAGCTGCACTGAGCTCACAAGACACTGATATCAATTATGATAAGAATTATAACTGTCAAGGAAACCAGATACTTCAGGTCTCCTAGCCAACTTATTCCCCTTCTGTAGTAAATGCTACAGTTCCAAAATAGAGTTTGCTTGATAAGCATTGAATCAAAACAAGGGAGTTAGATAGATGGTTAATTATAATAAGTCATAAAATTAGGATAACCTGATATATCATTTTCCTCTATCAGGATATCCAGTTACATACCCATCAAAGAGCAAGCTACTGGCCAGCTACTGAAATTCTCATTCTCTGAGTGTCCCTTTTCCAGTTTACATGTTTTTCTTGGGTGTATAATATTGATACTAGATTAAAGCTCCATTTAATATTGCACATATAGCCATTACATTATGTATTCTCCAGTTGCTGAGGTCTGGTAACCATGTCTGATTGATTGCTAAGCCACACACCTATTTATATTAGTTGGAACAGACTAACTGCTGTTACAAATGTTTTTAGAGTTTCAGTAGCCTAACACAGTAAAAGTTATTTCTCACTCACATCGCTATCCAATTTGTGTTGGCTTGGAGGTCTGGGTGAGGAGGAAGTAATGGTTGTTCCATGTAGTCATGCAGGGCCCTAGCTCCTTTCGTCTTGTGGCTTCCTCTATCTAGTCCTTAGGGCTCTTTCCCTTCAGCCAGTAGCTAGGAAAGAGGAAAGGGTACCCATTGTAGGAGTGTTTTGTGGGCCAGACCTGGAAATGGTATATATCATTTCTGTCCATAACTGAGTTTCATTGAACAAAACACAGTTATGCCTACACTTAACTATAAGATGGGCTAGATTGTGTAGTTTAGCTGTGTGTTCCTGAGAAGAAGAGAAATGGTTTGGTGAATAATTAAACAGTCTCTTCTATACCACCAGTTTTCAAATTATTCGTTATGATGATTTATTTATATAGATAATTGCTTTTCTAATTTTATTTTCCTTCTCAGCCAAGCTTTTTTAAAGGCTTGTTTCTCTTTTCCCTTTTATGAATTTTTCTGTTTAATACAGCATGGCTTTTGGCCATGCTGAAATTTATCAGTGATCTTTGTTGTATATCAAATGTATATTTGTAGTTCATTCTTAATCTTTCTACAGCATTTGGCACTCCCTTCTTTTAAAATACTTTCTTTCCTTAACTTCTAATATAAAACATTCTTTTGTTTTCTTTGATTCCCTTTCTCCTTCCTAAAATCCTGATATCTCCCAGATTATACCCATGGTCCTTTTTTCATTTAATTCATCTACTCTTTTGACTTTTCTTACCATCTTTCTATACATTAAGATCCCAAACTGAATCTATCATTTTTTCCTATAGTTTCTTTTTTGAATGGCTCCTGTGCTACCCAGTTTTTTAAGCATAAATTTTGGAATCATTCTCTACTTCTCCTTTTTCCTCACTCCCCACATTTAGTTTGGTTGTTTCCGCCTTCTTAATGTTTCCCAGTTTTGTTCACTTTTCTCTTCCACTGCTACTGTCCAGTAGGGTATATAGCTTGAGTTTCTACAAAGCCCCCTAATTTATTTCTCTACTTGTAGTCTGGTGCCCCATTCTAATGTTGATGGGGCACCATTGCCCTCAGCATAGAATCTGCCATCCTTGTAATAGTGGATGCCTAAACAGGATCTCTAGGCCATTTACCATCTCCCCAACTCCACGAAAGTGTCCTAATTGTGAGTGCAATGCAAAAAACAGGGTTGTAAGCAGGAGACTGGCATCAAATTTGACTTTAAAATAACTTCAGCTACATTTCTATGCCTTTTTTTAAAGATTTTATTTATTTTTAGAGAGAGGGACAAGGAGGAACAGAGAGAGAGAGAAACATCAATGTGTGGTTGTCTCTTGAACACCCCCAACTGGCAACCTGGCCAGCAACCCAGGCATTGTCCCTGACTGGGAATTGAACTGGCGACCCTTTGGTTCACAGGCTGGTGCTCAATCCACTGAGCCATGCTGGCCAGGGCTACCTTTCTATTTCTTTACTACCCTTTGCAGCAAAACTCCTTAAAAGAGTTGTCTAATATGTCTTTTCTTTAATTTTTTTCCTTCCAATCTTTCTTAAGCTTGCTCTATTCTGTCTTTTGCCCTCATTTTGTCACCGGAATTGCCCTCGCTGAGGTCACTGATGATCTCCTCTTGGTAAAATTTAGTGGCAAATTCTCAACCATTATCTTACATGATCCATCTGTTACAATGACACAGTTGACCACTTTTTTCTTAATACACTGCCTTCATTTGACTTCCATGATGCCATACTCTTGTAATTATACTTCTTCTTCACTGTTTGCTCCTTTTCAGTCTCCTGCTTTCTCTCTCTCTTGCTCTCTCTCCTTTTAATTTCCTAATATTAGAGTACCTCATGGCTCAGTCTGTGAATCTCTTTTATCTATCTGTACTCATGGCAATTTTATGGCTTTAAATACTTCCTATATGCTTGTAACTCTAATTTATGTCTTTAGCCCAGACTTCTCTCCCTAACCACAGACTTGTAAATCCAGCTATCTTTTGGACAACTGTACTTGAATGTCTGATAAACATGTCAAACTCACATGTCCAAAACCTAAATCTTGACCATCCTTCCAAGGTCTAGTCCATCCTCAGCTTTCCTCAATCCTCTAGTTGCTCAGGATAAAATTCTTAGCATTATCTTTACTTTTTTTTTCATATACTAAATCTAATACATCAGGAAATCCATTTGGCTGTACTTCAGAATATGTCTGAATCTGGTCACTTCTCTCTATTTCCTTTACTATTACTCCAAGTCAAGACACTATCAATTCTCATGTAGATTATTATAATAGTCTTCAAACTCATCTTGTCCCTGTGGTAGTTTGAATTTGTTCAGAGAATTCATCCCTCTCAGTCCCTCTTAACTGGGCCGTGTATACTTTCCATTCCATTAATTTGGGCTTAACCTGGCAAAGATCTTTACTTAAATGTCACCTTTTCAGTGAGTCCTCTTAGCACCCCATTTCAATGGCTCCTGTTTGTATCCCTAACATTTTGGATTCCCTACATACCCTGTTCCACTTCTTTTTTTCATAGCATTTATGGCTTTCTTATTATATGATTTATTTTTAAAATATTTTTTATTGCTTGCTACCACAAAATTGTAAACTTTTTAGGGACAGGGATCTTTTTGTCTTTTGTTCATTAAAATATTCCAATAGCTTAGAATAGTGTCTGACATGCAGTAGCTGCCCAAAAGGTATTAATTGAATGAATGAACGGATGAATGCATCAATTAACAAATAAATAATAATTAACAGTTTTGTTTTCTAAAGTGTAACATGTTGGAAACGTATGAAGGTGACACTCTGGTTCTAATTTTGTGCAGAAATGGCTATTCATATAAAGTGGCTGTTGCACTGTCTCTTTTTCTTGGATGGTTGGGAGCAGATCGATTTTACCTTGGATACCCTGCCTTGGGTGAGTATGTTTCATTGAAAAAAAAAAAAATCCTCATGAAACTTTGTGTTGCTTAACACAAAGTAGATTTGTGTTGTTTGTGTTACCTGTAAGAATAGGTCAATGTACTTATTCTTACTGATTAAATCTTTGCATACTATTAATAGTTACAAGTTCCATGTTCTTAAGGTGAAATAGTTAACACTCTTCTGTGAGTATAGAGCTATAGCTACACACTTCAGCTTGGATAAGAAATACTGACTTTTCCTGTGTTTTCATCTTTATGAGAAGACATACTCAGATAATGTAGTCACGGAGGACAGTGGACCTGAGCTGCCATTGCTACTGCTGGATACACAGTGGATGCTCAATAAATATTTTATGGATAAATGCATATTTCTCCTTATCTCTCAAAAAACATTCTATCTGAACTTCTCTCAGAGTTGGCTTGGAAATTGAAACTACTTCTTTCATGAGAAGTTGGAGTTAGAATTATGGCAGCCAGCATAAGCTGATGTGGAGCCCTACTTTTATTACCCTTACCATCCCTCCCTATACCTTCCTCCTAGCTGTAATCTTCACATTTACCATAGCTATTTACTAAAGCTTACAACAACTATCTACATTTGACAATAGCTTTTTAAGCAGTGCATTCACATGCCCTTATTTAAGCCTTACAACTCCCTGAGTTTATCATCGTCTTTAAATCTTCTTTAACAGGTAGGGAAATTGTCAACAGAGAGGTTAAGGGATTTACTTACTATAGAGGCCTTGCTTTATTCTGTGTTATATTTGTTGCTATCATTTTATTTTATGGATGGGGAAATTGTCATGAGATTAAGAGATTTACCCAAGGACATTCAGTTTAGTGACCTGAATTTGAACCCCAATTTTCTGGCTCAAGAGATCATGCTTTATTTACTGTAGTACGCTGCTTCTATATTAGCCCTTCACAGAGCAAATGTAAAGTTTCTGAATGTTCTGCTTTCCAGCTAGCAAAGCTAATCTTAATTCTTTCTGTGTTGCTACCCACCAGAGATCAAAGGAGAGTCTTCACTGTGGAGCTGGTGGGAAGTAGGTTTCTGACATCCTTTCTTGGAGCTCATTGTTACAGTGTCATAAATAGAAGTCACAGTTTAAAAATACTATGTACATGAATTTATTCAGTTAACAAACATTTATTAAATGTTTACTGCCTGTTAAGTAAGTAACTAAGTGCTCTGGAAATAATGATGATCACAGGTCATATTAGTTAAAAGAAAATAAATATGTTGGTAGGCCAATTTATGGTATAGTACTATTACAGAACTGTAACAAAGTTCTGTGAGAACACAGAAAGGGGACTGGTTCTGTCATCCTTGGAGTGTGAAGGATAAATAGATTACAGAGATTTAGGGCATTATAGGGAATAGCACGTCAAAGGCAACAGGGTAGGAAGGAGCACATGTGCATGTTGAAAGCATGGTGGATACTGTAGCCTGTGGTATAGAAAGGACAGTGATGGCAGGAGGTGAAAAGTGACTGCAGAGGTAGCTGGTGGTCAGATTATAAAAGGCTTTGAGTTCTTCTTAAGGATTTTGGATTTTACTCTCTAATATCAGAAGCCCTAAAAGTTGTTGTTGTTGTTGTTGTTGTTGTTGTTGTTATTGTTTAAGATTTTATTTATTTATTTTTAGAGAGGGGAGGAAAGGAGGGAGAAAGAGAGGGAGAGAAACGTTGATGTGTGAAAAATGAATTGGTTTCCTCTCATTCACGCCCTGACCAGGGACCAAATCTGCTACCCAGGTTTGTGCCCTGACCAGCAATTGAACTGGTGACCTTTCACTTTGCGGGACAAAGTCCAACCGACTGAGTTGCACCAATCAGGGCAGAAGCCCTAAAAGTTGTTTGTTTTTTTAAGATTTTATTTATTTGTTTTTAGAGAAGAAGGGAGGGAGAATGAGAGGGAAAGAAATATCAATATCAGAAAAACATGGATTGGTTGCCTCTCTTGCATGCCCCTAACTGAGGACCCAGCTATGTGCCCTGACCAGGAATCAAAATGGAGGCCTTTTGCTTCGCGGAATAATGCTCAACCAACTGAGCCACACCAGTCAGGGCCCCCCTTAAAGTTTGTAAGCAGAGGAGTATCATGGTCAAATGTATAATTCAGGAAGATGGTACTGGAGGAATTGTGGGAAATGGCTTGGACAGAGAAAGACTGGTGGAGAAAGCTGAAAGGAGACCGATGCAGTAGTCCTGGCCTGATGATGGTGTAAGTGCATGTTCATGCTATTTGTAATAGCAACCATACCTTTCCGTAATGTGCACAGAAGGTCTCTGTGTAGTCAGAATCAATACTTTTTAGTCTAATACTCTTTTTAGGTGATGGATGGATGGAAGGACATGTGATTAGATGGAGAAACTAGGTTCATAATGGGAAAGTAAAATGACATGGTGATGTCACATGGTTAGAATACAGCTAAAGCCTTCTGCCTTCATCCTTGCCTTTTTTTTTTTTTTTAAGATTTTATTTATGTCTAGAGAGGGGAAAGGAAGGGGAAAGAGGGAAAGAAACATCAATGTGTGGTTGCCTCTCAAGTGACCTCTACTGAGTACCTGGCCTGCAACTCAGGCATGTGCCCTGATTGGGAATTGAACCGGTGATCCTTTGGTTCTTAGACCAGCACTCAATCCAGGGAACCACACCAGCCAGGCTTTGCATTTTCTTTTCTGTTCTCTTTAAGAGGACACAATCATGTATATATGGAACATTTCTAACTTTAAAAAAGTTTTTAAAAGGTTAGGAGGGAAGGAGAGAACACTGTTCTTTAGAATAGCTTATTCTATGATGATTTTAAATTTTAAATATTTAAAAAAATTTGGCTTACTAAGTGACTTTGTAGTATCTTATGATGTGTGTCCAGTGAGCTCTCATGTCCTATAGTGTAAGTTAATGTTTTTTACCTAATGCAGCACATAGGAATATGTTGATAGGTACATTGTGAAATTTTTTTCCTGCAAAATCAAACTCCAGGTATAAAGCTCTGTATAAAATTCTGTATATTAGATTTGGTTAGTGAATGTTAATTTCCTGCCAGGACTTGCCTTTCTTTGGTCACTGTCACTCTAGTCAATTTTTAGCTTCAGTTAAAGAGAACCTTTTAGTTCGAGTCTGAGATTCTATAAACTGGCCAATATAATTTTTAACATTTAACTTTATGCCTCAGTATAAAGCGTTTTATTTTTATTTTTAAATAACTAACTTTATTATCACAACCTTTGGATGTCCATTAATTCAACAAACATATTGGCTGTTGGCTTAGGATACAACTTTTTCAAGATCAAATCTGTCTTACAGCTCCTGAAATTTTGTTGCTGTTGTCTTATTTTCCATTACCTTTATTCTATTGGGTTGGTGACTTTAAAAATCCCTTTACCATTTTTTTAGTGGGATTTTGGGGTGATAGTTTCTAAGTGTGGATATGTCAAATTTATTATCTTTAACTGAAAATTCTCTTATCTCTTTAAGCATTCAAATATTTTTATCTGCATTTTACTTCCATTTAAGCTACCATAATGTTAAGGATTTTGATATGTTTTATCAACTAATCTGTCATTACAATTTTGTAAATTTAAAAAATTTAAATGTTTTTAGTTATTTAAATTTTAATTTTTACTACAAATTCCAGATTAAAGAATTTTTGGTATTTTCAATTTAAGTGATTAACTTTCATCTAAAAAAATCTTAACTTGATAAAACAGTGTTGACTGGCATATAGTCCTTTTAAATATCTTATTTAATCTTTATGGTTGCAAAAAGCAGTGGTTTTATTTATAGATAGCTTTGAAAAATACTAATTTAATACCCTTTATTATCATTGGAGTTTTATAAAGATAGAATAAATCATGTACATCATGCAGATATGAAACTTGCTTTTTTAAGGTAACAGTGCTGAATATGATATTTCACTATATAAATTTTACTTCAGGATTAAGCAAGGAAATTTCTTGAGTGAGATTGAGTAAAACTTGATAAGATCTAAAAATTCCTTTAAGAAAAATTTTTTCTAGATATTCAGATTTCTTTTTAGCCACAGCTATGACTTTATGTTGTTAAAGAATAAAAATTTAACTGAGTAAATTTGAAGATCTTGTTTCTTTTTAACAATGTATAGCTTTATTTTTTTTTTAACTAAAAAAATTTCAATTACCGTTTACATTCAGGATTATGTTGTACTAGTTGGCAGGTGTACAACATAGTAGTTAGTCATACACTTTACAAAGTGTTCCTCCTCCCCACCCCACCCAACATGCCCAGTACCCACCTGGCACCATACCTAGTTCTTACAAGATTATTGACTATATTTTCTATCTGTACTTTACATCCCTAGCTTTACTTCTAATTGACTTGTTCCTCAATACCACTGCTACTTTAGCTAGGAGCCTTTTTTTCCTCCACCACAAAGCCTTATTCTTCTAATAATATTCTGTCTTTTTGTTTTTAATTGTGGTAACAGCTGTGACTTCTTTATATGCAAGAAGTAGCATATTTTGTTTTGCCTATCTGTAGCATTACAAAATTATGGATTCTCAAAGGTAATAGCTCTTTCGGAGCAATTAATAGGAGAGATGCTCTTTGCATGGTAGTATTTATTTTAAAATGTAAATATTTTCTTATGAGAATAACAAAGTTGCATGTTTTTAAGCCTGTATCTTAAGAAATCTTTGATTATATTATTTCTGTTTTTTTTTTTCTTTAAGTTTGAAATTACCAGTTTGGACTGGTATGTAATATCCACATATCATAGGACAAATAAAGGATTTGTAGGTTAAACTTTTCTAAGATTTGAAAGCTTCCCTTTATAGGTACAGACACACACACACACACACACACACACACACACACACACAAATAACGAACTCATTACAGAACACTTGCAGTTTGTCAACAGTGACTTCAATATGAAATAACCTTCGTTCTCTAAAACAGTTATGCAGACAGAAGAGTATTTGCAAGACTCAACCTATAATAAAATTTAAAAATGCCAAATTTTTAAAATGCCTAAAATTAATCTGTTCTTTTTATTTTATATCCAGATAAATTCTTTTACTGAGTTTGTGTTTTTAAAATGTAAAGTTTTAAATTACTAAAATATAAATAAAGTAGACTCCAAACATGAGCTTTATTAATGTCATTTGGTAGCTTAATCTTTTTGAAAGAATATATCTACAATAGTAATGGTTCAGGATAAAAATGGGTTTTTCTTGATTAGAAACATTTTATTTGGAATTTTAAAACAATTTTTAAAAATCTAAAGCTGATATTTCTTTCCATAGTAAGAAGTTAGTAAATAGGATTTATACAAAGAAAACTTTATATTTGGGGGGAAAAAGTAGTCAACCTACTCTTGGTAGTTTACAAATATCCCATCTGTTAAAAAACTGGTATGGATGCTCAAAATAATGAAACCTATAGGAGTAGTGGCCTGTATTGGTTTTAATAAATACAGTTTAGAATGCATGCTCCTTTTTGTTCAAGTTGATTAGTGTTTATTTACAAATAAGAATTAATTATTGTTATAGTTCGTTCCTTCAGTAGTCATATTGACTATGTGTGGGAATGGCACAGCCCTGATTTCGAGTTGCTCACAGAAGCATAGGGGAGGACAGACAAATAAGTACATAATAAATCATACTGTGGGGTATGTACTAGGCTGCAACTTAAAGGTGCTGGGGAACATCTAGGAATGGTATTAAATTTATCCTGGGGGCATTAGAGAAGACTTCTAGAAGTTCTAGAATACTATTAGGGGTTAGCTAGATTATTGGGAATAGTGAGGGTAGGGAGAAGGAGGAGGCGAGGTGGAGAACAGGGTAGTACACAAATGCAGAGATGGATGAAGGAGATGCAAGAGCAGGGAGGGCAAGTTAAGAGAACTTTGGTTAGCTTTTTGGGCTGTAATGCAGAAGGAATTTACAAGAGATGAGACTAGGTTGGATGATGCTGCTATAAGGAATGTGGATTTATGTTGTCTAAATTTCTTGATTAGTAGTAGAAATAGTGATAGCATGAATAGTTGCTGGGCTAATAACATTTATTCACTTTGCCTCATTATCATTTTTAATCCTTAGTGTCCTTCCTATCTTGTTTTCATAAAGTATTTTTATATTTCAAAGCTAAAACAAATTTAAGATAGCATTATTAGCAACTTCATTAGGTAAGCCATCCTTTATTTTAAATTTATAGAAATACCATAGATGGACCATAGTTAATATCTCACATTTGGAGTGAGACAGGACTAATGAAAATGCAACTAATGAAAAAATAATTAAAGGAGTTGTTGTATAAGATGATGGATGAAAAGTTAGGGGTCTTTAGGAAACAAAAAGCTGAGAAAATTTATTCATTCAACAGATACTGAGCATCTTCCATGTGCAAGACAATGCTGTAGGTACATAAAGACACAGGAGTAAATAAAAGAGATAAAAGACACTTCCCGAAAGGGGCTGGCATGAGGCAGTGATCAAATATAAACTATTAAGTGGATAGTAAGTGTTTTAAAAAAAAAAACTAGAAGAATAATTTCATATAATTATTATATTTTAATAGTTTTGAATTATTTCCAACATGTATTATCCTAGTACTTATAACATTCTGATATATGTAGAAAAATCATCTAATGTACCTACATATTTCAACCTTTTTTGTGTATTTCCAAATTGTGTCCAGAGGGTGATCTCATTCACTCTTGTGATTTTTAGCTGGCATCTATAATGTAGTTGATAGTTATAATAGGCCTTTCACAAAGAGTCTTGTTTCATACCATTCTGTGTCTCAATTGGAATATCTGGAAAGCAAGTCAAGTTTAAATATAGAAGAGAGATTACTCATCCCACCCCCACCCCAATCTGCCTCTTCTTACTTCATCATCACATTTTTGTGTTATATCTTGTATGTGCTCTATTATTGTCTATTTTAGTACCTTAGCTCTAAGGTTGGGAGCAAGAACAGAAGTGTATACATAGTGCACAGATTTGTTATTTTGACTGTAGAGTTAATAAACATGAGATGCTTAGGGGAAAAAAGTATAGGATAAATTCAAGATAATTGGGTTACTAATAAAAGTTTTTAGTTTAACTATAATATCAGTGTTTTTTCCTGATTATTTTTGGGGGGCCTTGTCAATCTTTATTTGGACTTTCTATTTTGAAAATATATTGAAACTTAGATCACATATTTTAAGTCTAAAGAGATAAATAAGGTTTTCAGGACTAATTCTGATGTACTGAGATTTAAAGATTCATTTCCTTATGCCTTTTCTCTTAAGAAATTTTGAAAGATTACATTGAGTTTTTCTTTCAGTTCCTAATATATTTATTTGCTAAGCGAGGTAGTAAACTTTGTTGTGGCTTTTCTGTATAAAGGAACCTCAAACTTTTCTCATATTGTAGGGTGAAGATTTGATTTTTTTAAGTGTTAATTTTATATTCTTTTAAAATAGATATGCATGATCTTTATTATATTTTTCCCACTACCATTTATTCCTCTTATCCCCCCTCCCCCAGCAACCACCACACTTGTCTGTGTCCATGAATCCTTTTCTCTTTTTGCTCGGTCCCTCCACCCCCCACTCCCACCACTAGCTGTCAGCTGTTCTCCATCTAGGAGTCCGTCTCTGTTTTGCTTGTTCAGTTTGTTCATTAGATTCCACAAATGGGTGAAATCATATGGTATTTGTTTTTCTCTGACTGGCTTATTTCACTTAGCATAATGTTCTCCAGGTCCCTCCATACTGTTGCAAAGGGTAAAACTTTTTTTTTACGGTTGAGTTGAATTCCATTGTGTAAGTGTTCCGTAGTTGTTTTATCCACTATCTACTGATGGACACTTGGACTGCTTCCATATCTTCGCTATTGAAAATAATGCTGCAGTGAACATATAGGGGTGCTTATGTTCTTTCGAATTGGTGTTTTGGGCTCTTTTGGATATGTTCCCAGACGTGGGATTGCTGGGTCAAAAGGCAGATCCATTTTTAATTTTTTGAGGTATCTCCATACTGCTTTCCACAGTGGCTACACCAATCTGCATTCCCACAAACAGTGCCAAGGAGTTCCCCTGTCTCTACATCCTCTCCAGCACTTGTTCTTGAATGTATTGATGATAGCCATTCTGACAGGTGTATATTCTTGATATAAAGAATGTGTGGTATATATAATGGTTAATTGGGAAATGGAAAAGTTTGTTCATTTTTTCATGACTTTCCAGGTTATACGTGATTTTCTTTTTTCTTTTTTCTAGGTTTGTTAAAGTTTTGCACCGTAGGGTTTTGCGGAATTGGGAGCCTAATTGATTTCATTCTTATTTCAATGCAGGTAAGTTAGTTTTAATCTAGGTGATGAACTACTTTTACATTCAAATTTGAGTTCTGTGATCTTTCCCTGGTATATTTTAAATGTATTAGGAAGCAGTAAAGAATGCTTTTTCAATTCTTCTTCAGATGCTACATCCAGGGGATCATAGCTATGTTTCCAAGTAGCATTTTCCAGCCTATGCTATACCAAATAGGATTTCTGAAAGATATAATACCTTCATTTAAAAAAAAAAAGGATTCTATGATCAAATATGCCCTGTAAATGTGGTTTCAACTGAGTTAAAGAGATTTCTTTACTGGATAACTTCTCAGAATCTTTATAGTTATAGTTAGAGAAGTTAGAGAGTCATAGATCATGAATCTCTAAGAAGGATTGAGGCTATTTCTCAAACTTACTGTTTCTTTTCCTGATAGTTACAGCCACATGGTCAATTACTATAATTGGATATTGATGGGAATTTAATATTTACATGTGAACATATGGAGGCAGAAACAAGATTTTCTTTTGCATTGGACAGGCACTCAATATTAGTATTTTCTTGGTTGCAAATTATAGAAACTAAAACCCAGCTAGCTTAAGCTGAAAAAGAAAAAAGGAAGGTCTGGGTTCTCCTTAGATAATTGAAGAGTGGGACTGGTCTCAGGCAAGACCAAATCGATATAATCAAATGATGTGTCAGGACTCTCTTGATACTCCTCTCTGCTTCTCTGTGCTCGCCTCATTTTCTGCTGCTGTAGTGGTGTGGAGGCAGGCATGGTTTGTGAAATGCTATCCTTAGGCATTTAAAAGTGCCACCAGATGTTTTCTGTTAAATTATACTGAACTGGTTGTGGTTAACTCATGAGGATTCTTAAGTTAGAGAAAGATGAATTTATCATAATAAATGTCACAAAACAGCATTTCAGTAAGCACTTATGGAGCACCTAATGTCTTCAGCAAGTGTGTCAGTATGTATTGTGATCATCATCAGTTTTGCTCTTCTTTCTCGTACATACAGTATCAATTCGGTCGGCTTGATGGTATCCTTATGTTTTAAAAGAAAGTCAAACTCTAGGAGATTTTTGGTAGCATACTGTGAGAAGGGTACCATACTGTGAGGAGGAGGCAGCATATGGACCAATAAGATACCAGAATTAAACAAGGAAAATATTTGGTTTTAAAGTTGAATTTTTCCTGTCTTTATTCGTAAACATATGCTTAACCAAATATCTTGCCTTCTCTGACGGTGGGACAGACAAGCAGGCATGAAGAGGCTAAGGTACTTGTGCACATATGTTTAGAAATGGGTTTCTCACTTTAAATGAGGCTCCAAGGAATTTAATGTGTTATTGGAATTCTTTAAGATATCCAGGATTCAGTGACTTTGAAACTCAACCATTAGTTAATATTTTCACACTGGTTCTTTGGTGATATCATTACTTTAGAGCTTTATATCAAATTATAGAGCTTATTTGATTTAGCCACTACTTTCTGATAGATGTATTCCTAAACTTTTCAGAACAAATAGTTCTTTTCTTGAAAATCTGGAATTGACACTATTACATTAAGAGAGTATTGATCTAGATTTAGAGTGTTTGAATTTCTGCATTACATTTCTCTAAATAAGACATTTTAATAGATATGGCCACTTTAGACTGCTTTCACACTGGGGGGAAGTAAATCAGTTTCAAATGCAGCCAAATAAGACCTGTAGCCTTATTCTAAATGTCATTTGATATAGTTAACATGGGATGTTGACCACATCAGAAAATAATTTTTTGGCATATTAAATGAATTTTTACTATAAATGTCATAAACCATGTCACAAATACATTTTTGTCAAATATATTTTTCAATTTCTCATGAACTTTCTACATTTTTCCATCATTTTTAATTGTTTTTTCTTTCTGCATTCTCTCCACAACAGTTTTATTTTCTTTCCTTTTCTTTTCTGTCTTTTTTGCCATTAAATATTATTCCCCAATGAATAGCAATGTTTTTCTATTGAGCTGTGATCCCAGAAACATATTATACATGAACTCAAGACCTATAAAAACATACTTTGCTTCGCAGTGTTTATTAAAAAATCCAGGAAAATTCTCTTAAAAATAGATCTAGTTATTTCATTTTTGAACAAGAACAACAAAGTATAATGTACATATTGCTAAAGTAAGCTTTAGTTGTTGCTATATATACTGAAAATACCTTTCATGAGTTTATTTGTTAATAAACTTTTGAAGGTTTTTTTTTTTGGTTGTTGCTGTTATTAAAAATATGCAGGTGGCACTATATGAATGAGTGGCATGAATAATTCAGTTCTTTTGTGCATTCAACAAAAAATCTAAATATATGTGTAGCATATAGTCTTTCAGTTATAGGTAACTATTGTGTATAACTACTATGTATTTATTTATAAGGCAATTGTGAAGATTTTGAAACATTCATTCTGCGCTGGCCAGTGTGGCTTAGTTGAGTGTTGCCAGTTCTATATCCAGTCAGGGCACATGCCTGGGTTGTAGGTTCTGTCCCCTATCGAGGCATGTGCGAGAGGCAGCCAGTTGATGTTTTTCTCTCATATCAGTGTTTCTCTCCCTCTTTTTCTCCCTCCTTTCCCCTGTCTCTAAAATACATACATACATACATACATACATACTAAAAATAGAATAAACACTCATTCTTTTGTGCTTGTATATTTTTGAGTACACCATGAAGGATAGATTAGATGATTTAAGTTTTTCTGTTTTAATCAGAAAAAAATAGAATATTCTATTTTATTTAAACCCCTTTTCTCACAATCTGGACTTTTTTTTTTAAAGATTTAATTTATTTTTCATTTTTTAGAGAGAAGAAAAGGGAGGGTGAAAAGGGGAGAGAAACATTTATCAGTTGCCTCTAGCCTTTCCCCAAGTGGGGACCTGGCCCACAAGCCAGGCATGTACCCTGACTGGGAATTGAACTTTTGACCTTTTGATTCATAGTCCAGTGCTCAACCCACTAAGCCACATGAGCCAGGGCTGGACATTTTAAATTATACCCAAACTATTGATGTCAAGCAAAACGAAAAGAAAATTTCTTCTGTTAAGTGGAGATATAGCCTAAAATAAAAAAGATGAAGATGGACAGTTTTAATGTAGAAAGTTGTTAGAAGGAAGTATGTTAGGTTCTTTGTGATAGTTTTTAAAAATTCTATACATTATGGAAGAAATTAATTTTTATTCCTATTAATATTACAAAATAGATTTCCTTAAAGGACTAATAACTATTTAAGCAGAAATTCAGAAAAGCAGCATAATCTGAGACATTTATGAACTACCTAAATAAACTTACCAAATTTATAAAATATCTCATTAGTTTGATATTTATACGTAACTCATTTTAGCATTGGAGCATTATTTCTTCACTTCTACACACAGGTTGGACACATAAATTTCTTGAGGAGAAAAACAACATTTATTAATCCTGTATAGCACTATTAGTACGTTAAACAAAGAGTATGCCCTCAAAAAATATTTGCTGATTTGAACTGAATGCAGTATACCATGTGAAAAGTGTGGCTTTGTGCCATTTATAGAGAAGACGAGAAGCTAAAAATAGTAGTTTTTTAAAAAGTGATTGCTTTTCTTTAGGACCTTAAAGTTCTAAATTTTATAGCATCACTTGAGAGGTAGGTAATAAATACAAATAAAAGTTGGAATGGTAAATATTAGGTTTTATGCCATCAGTGAAAACGAGTTCATTGAGCACAGTTAGGTAGAATAAATTGGGATCCTTGCCCTAAAGAAATGTAAAATGTAACGATCCCAGGAGTGGTCTGATTATAAGATTTTACTTATTATTAGAAATAAAATATTTCCTTCAGAACTGCAGAGTTAAAATAAAGGAAGAGTTGCCTTGGTTTTCTCTTGTTTAAATACCTTGAATTTTACTTAAATTTTTAAAAGCCTTTTTAGTTCAGAGCATAAATAAGGTTAAAATTAAGAGTTCACTTCTGTATAAGCCAATTTGTTTTGTCAAAGACATGGCCTGCAGCCTTGCCCTGTGAAATATGTGCTGTTGATCAAAAGAAGGACAAAATCCATTACCAGTACGGGAAAAGTTGGTCAAAGTCCTTGGTAGTTCACTAGACGTAGGACAGCGATATATAAAAACCAGTTGACGTTTTATAGATAGCAGGTCTTTCAAAAAGCTCTTTGTATTATTCATTTAATCCTGGTGTGATTTATTGGGGAAATAAACTGAAAAACTGAGGATACTGAACATTTGTGTCATGTGACCTTAATTAGGTGGGTTTCACTTAGTTCACTTATCCTGTGGGTAGACTTTTACTTAATGAATTAAAGGAATGTTCATAGAATAAAGAATATTTTAAACTGGTCCTGGGACTATTCCCAAAGTTGTGTTTTCCCCAGGAGATACAATGGTGAATAATACTCACTTCCCGAGGAATGATATTTATGTTGGTCATTACGGATTAAGGCTAACCAGTCTTTAAATCAAATGAAGTCAGGGGTTCTGAATGCCTGATTTCTCACTGTGTATGAATTTTGATGCCTAATTAAATATGCCTAATCAGATGGTTTCAATGCCTCATATTAAAACTAACCACATGCAGTATTCAGCTCTGGACACAAAAACATAATTTGACTTTTAAGAAAATATAAATTTACTTTGGGGGAATTGGGTGGACACAAGTTGCATCATTCTCCAATAATTGCAGACAGCTGAGTCATTTTAGTTTCTTCACCAGGTTAGTAGGTTTTCAGGAGATGATTTGATCTTGCCAGGGTTAATATTTGAATTCTTTATGTGGAGAAACTCTTAAATGGACTACATAGAAAAGGGCTACATTAATAGAGTTATATAAAGTGTTCTTTTTGTCATTTTACTTTTTAATTCTTTTGTAGCATTTTAAAAATATAAGATATTTGAGTTATGTAGGCAGTATGACTTCAATGACTATGCAAAGCCATTACATGGAATATCATATCTGTTGCCAAAGTTTAGGTGTTCAAGTATGTATT